TACCAGCGCGTGGTGCTGAATATCTCTGTTTATTGTTTCGTATGCCGGGTATTAGTGGTAGGAATTCCCCTTTACCCCATAAATAAGGCACAAATAGACTCCTGCATAATTGAAGCAGATTTATGGTAATGTTTTTACTATAATGCAAAACTTCAAGAGAGACTGCATTGCTTTTATTTGCTTTAAAAAAACATCACGTAAAATATATCTAATAGGAGGTAGTAATACATTCTCATTCTTAATGACAAAACGTACACTGCCTCTTCGCGGTTAACGCCGATAAGAGTCCACAAGTAGCCCTGTTGCTCTTTTGAATTTCACGAACACCACATGATTGTGGTGTATCGCAATTAGTTTAAGTGGCTTTGTTGTTGGTGGCGCAATCACCGTTGCATTATTGCCATCATCGTCATCTTTGTCACTGTTACGAAAACCCATTTCATCATTGGTCTTCGTCCGGTACTGTCCCAGACCCCGCCAGCGGTCACAATGTTATCCTGAACTTTTGCCGGCGGTACGGACTGTCGAAGCGAACGTTGTTTTTACCGAAGGGTTCAAAACCTCGATTTTGTTGCACCCAACGGTTGTGGCTCTTGGTTCTTTTTGAATAATAATAAAAAATTATTGGTATTCGCTAAGGGTGGTGGTGGGGGGGGTGGCTGAACCCGTGAGACCCGTACGGTTGTGGAAATGTGAGCGATACAGCCCGAGGGCTTTGCGGTGAAGCTGGCAGCAGGGAAGTAACTGGCTGGAGAAGTGCGCGCGCGTGTCCATGCGCGTGGTTGTGGCTGCACATCTCCTCTGCCTGTCGTCTCAGTCAAGTCATCCCATAGGTGGCACCGGGGTGTCTGTTCCGTGGCTTCCTGCCGGCAAGCGAGCTTTCGAAACTTTCACGTGGCCTCGAGGTGCACCTAGCCTGACGCACGCGCCTTTGGTAACGTCATCGCCGCTTCGTGGCGAATGGCGGCGGCGGCGGTTGTTGTTGTTGTGCCTGCATACAGACGCGCATGCGTGCATGGAGAATTCCCAGACACCCCCACACACGCGACAACTCGCAGTCAGACGACCACGCGCACGCAAACCGCCAGCGTAATCACGCTCGCGGTAACACACGCGCTCACACACACAGCCCGCTTTTGGCCCTAGAGAAACCGTGGAGGCAAATACCGTCAGCGAGCAGCGAGTATAGCACGTATGCATGTACGTTGAACTTCTTTCGCGCCGTATGCAGCCAGCCGTGCTATTCGGAGATGCGGGGAGACCAAGGTGGTCGGGGTGTGGCTTTTCCGTCCGAACACCTCCCACTCGTGTGCCGTGTCGGCCTTCATGGCTGCTCGCTCACGGGACTTTGTCCCAGCATTCCGTGTGAAGGCCGGCGTACAATCCTGGTGTGTTCGGGAGCAGCGGCGCTACGTACCCGGCGACCCGAGTTCAATTCCTGGCCACACGGCGAACATCGTTGGCGAGCGATATCTCTCAACTGGTTCTGGGCCCCTCCTGTCTCTCTCTCTCTCCCCCTTCCCTGACCTGCATGGTCGAACGACCGTCGTCACTGTACACGTTATTGGAAGGCCTTCAGCAATGGATTGACAAACGGCCGTAAGATGTCAACGCGGTGAGCCACAGCTGGCACCGTGTACCATACCAAGCGCTAACGCTTTGTTTCAATTCATCTTAGGGAAGGTTTAGACTTAATTTATCTTCTGGTGAGAGTTACCAGAAATGTAACGCAGGTCACTGCGATCATAATGCAGTGTCCGAACCACCACTGTTCAGCGCACAAACACCACACTGTCCTGCGTGCATGCACACAAGCGCACGCAATGCATTCACACAATACACACTCCTAACCCTCTCCACACCGCCTTCCTGTCTTTAACATCCATCATTTATTACTGACAGCTCCCGTGTGTATTATCCCTTTGTGTGCGTCTCTCTTTAGTTTTTCTCTCTCTCTCCCTCTACCCAGCCTATCGCGTCTCGCGTTCTCTCCATACGCATTTCTCTCGGTTTCTATTTCACCCTTCCTCACAAATCCTCTTGGCAAGTTTTTGCTACCCGCGGTCCGACCACCTGTGGCCACGCGTTTGCGTCGGGCGGGCGTTCTTAAGCGACGCTTCTTCCAAAACGCCGCTTCGGGTTGTGCAGCGGCGCGAGCGAGGAGTCGCGTGGACTAAATATAACCTAGCGGTCGTCTGGCACAACGTATATGACCGGGCGTGCCGTGTGTGTTTTGGGGATCTGAGGTTATACGTACGTACGGTGAACGTCTTTCGCACCGTATGTAACGAACCGTGCTAATCGGAGGTGTGCTCGGGTGGGGGGGGGAACAACAAACTAAACACAACGATCAGTTCTCAAGAGAAAGAGTTTCCAATCTAGATGCTGTAAAAGTGTGACGTACCTCCAAAGTGACCTCCGAACGTCGGAATTCAGAGCGTTCTAGACGGCCGCGGAAGCGCATCTGAAAGCGCGTGAAACGTGTTTGAGTGCACGCTGCTCCTTGAGGTGGGGGGGGGGGACGGTGGCCCTTCCTTGGCTGACCATCTTTGGTATTTGTATGACCTGGTCACTGCATCTCATGGCATTTATCATTTGCATAGTAGAGTTTTTTTGGGTTAGATCTAGTGAATATAAATGCGTCGTTAAACCCGCCACCACCCGACACCTGAACAACACATGCCAATTCGTTACTGGTACAGCACACCGGTGTATTGGCGACTAAACCCACAGCATTTACATTTTGCTTATCTAGTAACTATTGCACGATGCCACTCGCACAGACCCAGTCTGTGCCTGCTAAGGCCACTCTTGTCCACATAGGGACCCTCCTTGGGGGGAGGGAGGTCTTCAGGAGTCCACGGCGCGTTCTTTACGGCGGGGTGGGGGCCACGCGTGTTTAATGCAGCGGGGCTCGTAGGTCCAGGTTGGTGGATCACGCTGGGATGGAGGTTCTCCGATTCACAAAAGTTGTCGTAAGAGTCCTCTGGGGTGGTGTGTTTGCGTGTGACGGGAGACACCGACCATCTGACAAATCGGATGCCTGTGAAAGGAAAGTTACAGCGAGTAGATTTCTGAGCCGTTTCTGTGGAATCCCAGTGGTTCTTCGTTCAATAGGATGGCTTTTACTGCACGCAACATGGCTTGTTTTTCACAGGTCAATGAAAATTACTCCCGAAATTGGCCCAACATCGCAACCGGACCCTCGTGGAAAATCATTTGCGAGCCTCATTGAGGGCTTCCTAGGCACGCTTGTACGATCATCATCATCATGATCATCAGGCTGAGCATTGCGAAGCGACCGTATGGTTGTGTATACCTGGTTGAGCGAGCCAGTGAGTGAGTGGTGAGTGTCTTCAGTATTCAGTTTTATTATGATAACAAAAAAAACTACGCAGTTTTCGGAAGGAGTCTTATCTTGTTTGGCTGATGGGTTCCTTGTTCCCACCCCCCCCCACCCCCCGTTCATTTGCATTGCATTGATTTAATTCACCGAGGCAGCAAACGCGATGTTAATTACACGCATGCCAATTCTGGTGGCCTATTTTAAATTTGTGTGCATAACACAGAGGTATAATAACTGTAACAGTGCGCTCTTCAGCAGTCGCTTAAGCTGCTGCGGCGTGCCGATGAGTGCTAAGAGCGCGAATCTATTTGCACGTTGCCCCAAAGGTGTAATTATTTTTCAATAAGTACGATTTTCCCTTGCGCTCGGGCCCTTTGATTTGCGTGAACGCAGCACCCGGTTGGCGTTGACTGTTCCGCTCTCGTGCGTGGGTTTTGTTTATATCACTTGTCGCAGCAGCCGCCGCCCCTGCCTCCGAGTCCTCCTCGGCGCCACCTCCGCTGTCAAAATCGGAATCGTGATATTTATTTGTACTGCAGGAGGAATCCGATGAGCCATAACGCTCTTTTTCACCGACGTCCAGTAGGGGCGTTACAACAACAAACAGTACAAAAAACACGATCGGAGTGCAAAGTACAACAAAAGTCGAACAGTACAAAAGCAAGGTAGACGGGGGAGAGGCGACGCGTCGCACGTTCCTCAGTGGTCACCGAGCCGGTTAAAGATCCACACGTGTACACCTGTTAATTCGTTTTATTGTCTTTGAACGATGCATCCTTTTATGAGTTGTGGTTGGAACAGGTTCAGAGTGGGCCCCTTGAAGTCGGCCTTGAATAATTGAGGCGGTCGCGGTGTTCCGCTTGCGAACACACGCCAACAGAAGCGCCGCCGGTGCCTTTAATTAAGCGACTTGCCCGCTTCCACACGCTGCACGGCGATGCGCGGTTTTCCGTTACCCAGCTCCTCCCTCGGGTTGAAAAGCGGCGCACATTTCGCATCGGTGGGCCCTCAAATCTCTCGGGCGCCGCGCTGCCCACTGGCCTCTCGAGCTGATACCGCCGCTGGTGGCCGCGTGGCTCCCCCCCCCTCCTCTCGGATGCCCTGCTCTTGCGTGCGTTGGCCGCGCTATGTCCGGGAGCTCGGTGCCAGTGTCGAGGTCTGCTGCTGGCCACGACGAGAGGGCTTCATGAAAGAGTTGGTCTCGTTTCCCTCCCTCCCTCCATTGCAGGAGAGCCGATTACGGTGGTTCGCCGTATGGTCCTCGGCGGCAATGGAAAGTTTGAGAAAAGCCGCAGTGCGATTGTGGATGCACCTCGAGTGCATAAACGTCGAGGCGTGAACCTCGCAGCTCACCGATAACGCGTGGAACAAGTTATATTTGATGCAATTCATTGCTCTAACTTTCGCTGATTTCGTGGGCACGACAGTTATAATTGTGATCGAGAGGAGCTTAATCATCCGTGTTGACACATGCCATTGAAGCCCGTTGTTAAAAGCCGTCGCGTTGCAGTGGCTCCGTTGACAGTCACTGTGGCTGCCTTAATGTTGGTGGTGGTGGTGGCGGCGCTGACAAAGGTGTCGGGAAAGGCTCTGATGTCGCTGACTTTATCCGTGTGTCTGTGTGTCTCTCTCTTTCCGTGTGTCACTTTCACAGCTTGTGAAGAGAGGAGTGCCAGTGGCCCTTGGGCAGCCAGTGCCAATCAGTCCAGCCCAAGCTTCGACTCGTCCAGGGTAAGACCTCTGTTGTTGATGGTCAGTGGCGGCAGTGCGGTCGGTATTGGCCCTGGTGCAATGAACGAAATGGGTGCCCTGGCCCCCCCTCCCCCCGCCCCCACCCTGTCTAATTTTCGTAGCCCGCCACCAGGGCCTCTCTTCCGGCCCCCGGCACTCGATAGCTACGCCGCTGTCCATGAGAGCCGTCGGTGGACGATTCAAACGGTGGCCGCAGACTCGACGCACAATTGGGTTGCCTTCCTCTTCCAGGCACCCTAGAAAACTCATTATAATAATTATTAATGTATTAATAATGTTTATGAACGGTAGTTGGGACCCCCCCCCCCCCACCCCACACACCCTCAGGAGGGGAGGGGTGCGCGCCCGCATCATACCACGCGACCCTCCGTCGTCACCTCCCGAGCGTGTTGTTTTCTGGGACCGGAAGATTTGGTTGCTCTGCACCTTTTAGGAATTTTAGCGGCTTCCTGAAGTCCCCCGCGGCCAGGAGGACAGCCGCCGCAGGGTCCGCGTTTACAACGCAGCGCTCGCGGAAATCACCTGTCACGGCTAAACCTCGCCCCGGTTTAGCGTCGTTGGCTTGGAGCGCGTCGGCACCTGCAAGGAAGGTTGCGAGGAACGAGTGCGGGGGGGGGTCGACTCTTGAGAATGCGAGCGGATCTCGTGCCTCCGCCGGCTGGGGCGCGTCTTGAGCAGCGTGCCCCGGTGCCCACCAGGAGCTGCGCGGGCCCCCTGCGATAGCCAGGCCATCAGCGCAGGGCGTAGCTGCGGCAGGCGTGGCCTCCCTCCCGTTGGCCCGCCAGCGCCGCTGTTGTGAATCGGCGTACTCGACGCGAGGGGATTTTGCTTAAGACCCTGAGTAATTATACCATCGATATAATTATCATCGTCAACCTCATTAGAAAACATTATGAACGCATTGCCGTTTACATGAAGGCCGGCCCCTCGCACCCGCGCCATGTCCACACAAATGCCTGAGGACGCACGGAGTGTGTTTAAACGAAATGCTACTCGCAAACAAAAGCGTGGAGGGAGTGGCGTGGGGGGTGCCGGTCTCTACTTAATTCCGTCAAGATTTACACATGGCTGACGTGTTAAGTGGGGTTGCCGACCGTCAGTGTTTGACCTGGAGAGTGCGGGAATTGGCCGCTGCAGAAACAAAGCGACTGGGATGGGCACGGCGTCTGGGTTGCGGGCCCCGGGCCAATGGCCATTGCCCAGATTTTTCGCCAAACAATGGGTACTCTCCCGCCGGCCGCGCGCTCCGCTCTCTCTCACCCGTGCCCACCCAGCTCTCTCAAGCCTTCCGCCTCATCGCTTCAATCACTCACCCCCCCCGCTCTTTCTTTACTTGCTCCGGTGCTCTCTCACTCCTTCCAGCTTGTTGTGGGTTGTCCAGGCCTGACGGAGCCCAACAGTTCCAAACCTCTACGATTAAAGACGTCACAGAAATCACTCCGGCCTCGTGGCGACTGACGCGTCCTTAGCCACAGCCTCGCGGAGACGGCAATCGGGGGCCTTGCCTTGGCCATGTGCACGACACACACTCGCACACAGGGGGCTGACGGTCCACTTGAGCGAAAGTTTATCTCCGGCTGACTACAGTTAATTGTTTCCGTCCTATGCCACCGGTGCAATCTTCTTATGGCGAGCCAGGGTTTCGGGCACTTCCTCAACGTCTACGGGAAGGGAGTTTTACAACATTCGTCCGGTGATCCACCAACCCCTCGCTGCCTCCACAGTGGTGGATCGGAATGAGATGAATTATCCATTGACATTGTACCGGTGGCCAGAAGTATGGAGTAGAGAAACGAGCTATTACCGAGGCACAAAAACCTCACGTTAAATGTGTAATGAGCAGGATTTTGTTAAGGGAGAGAGAGAGTGTGTGGAGACTTAGTGAGGCTGCTCTGGGTAAGTGAGTTGTTACGGTTATTCTCTGGGGTGCAGCAGTGATGTGTACACATCCTTCTGCACCACGTGTGCATGCATGTGGAAGACCGACTGCAGGGGTTTCCTGCTTGTGGCCTTGGCTGTGTTTTTTTTTCCCATTGCCGCAAAGGTGGCATGCAAGCAAGACTGCGCGTTGCATATAAAAACCATCATATGGGTGTAAAGGGTGGTGGTGGGTTTAACAACACATTTATGTTTACGTGATGTAACTTAAAGAACCTCTTGTGGCTCATTTTGTACGCGAAAGGCCTACGTATTAGATGGGCGAAAATAGTGTCCGACGTGAAATAGTGGCGAGGCCTGTTCATCCTCAACCGCCGGTGTTTATATTGGATCTGATCCGAACCGTGCCGCATGGCGATCGGCAATCGTCTGCTTGATTGAATCGTTGCCGATGGCAATCTTGAGGCCGAGGGAGCAGCGTTAATTGGGCATTACCAAAGCTGACACCGAGTCACGTGTGGCTTGAATCTCTAACTGAGTATGAGCAACACGAAGCGGTGTATGGGAGCAAGTTAAAAGTGCCAATGTAACCCATTGGCACGCGATCTTCTTTCTTTCGTACGGCTGATGTAGATTGCAGAGCAACAACTCCAATTTCACATTCAGGCGGTCAAGCCAGATAACGGCGCCAGGAGCAGAGGAGTGTATCATCGCCGTGATGTCTCCTTGGTATTTGTGGATCGGGCATTGCGCCGATATCTATTTCTTCGCGATGATAAACTATAACAGTGCAAATGTTAAACATCAAAAGATGAATTTTAATACTTCCTTTGACTTGGTACTCCTCTCTAAGAGTCTTTTTTTCAAGACAGTTGTGCTTCGGGGATATTTGGCCTTTTTCTTCGTCGCCGCTGGCGTTTTTACGACGTGGGGAAAACGATATCTCAAGAGACACGCTTACATACACCTTGGCGATTCGGCATAGGCACCTCGGCACGCAACTTACTTCCTGTACTATGTGCTTAGGCATCTCACTTGCCAGCAGCAGGTAGGAGGAGTCTCATGCAGGATTCGTGTCTCTGTGATCCACCAACCCCGACCGCCAATTCACAAGCCTCCACTGCACAGGGCAACATGGCGGACGCAAAAATGTAAATTTGAAAGCAAAAATTGAATAAATGTTAAATATTTCACCGGTAATTTAACCGCATTGCTGGATGGGGGTCTACTGCAATCGCAGTCGCTGCTCCCCCACGACCCGCTAAAGGCAGCTATAGCGGTTCGCATTTGTTTTTACCTTACTTCACCAGCGCTAAGTGGAGTTCGGTGAAGGTGGGAAACATGGGTGTGGGAGCGTAGAAGAACAGTACAACGGTGCCCGACCGTCCACGTGCCGTCCTGGCTTGCGGCCAGAGCACCCTCCGATCGGACGAGGATGGGGGCGGGGGTTGCGGCGGTTTCGGGCGATTTGGTCTGAGGAAGATTGAGCGCGAGATCACATCAACGACGACACCGGTGCCGTTAGAGACGATGTCGCACGTCGCACTCGGCGCCCGTACCTGGCCACCGTAGCCGCCCTTCAGCCCCCCGCCATCGCCTCCACCACGACCCTTCCACCAAACACTCCCCCTGGCTCGTCCTCTGACACCCGCCCCAACAGATCTACACGCACGTGAGCACGCAGCCCTCGCCCCATTAGGCATGCGCGGGCGCTTGCGCGTCGCAAGCGATTAAGCCGTGCGATGGGAGCAGATGTGCCGCCACATTAATTGAGCGTTTGCCGCGCTGCATCGTGGGAACACCCTGCCTGTGCCTGCTCCCACTGTGCCCAAGGCGGGGTGACGCGATGGTGGGGGGCCTTGGAGGGGGGGGGGGGGGGTTTGAGGGCCAGGTCTTGAGGGCGCGCGTGAGGAAGAGCTGTGGGCTCTGCTGGAGAGGGGCGTTGGAGGCCGGCGGGGAGGGGAGAGATGGCAGCAGGGATTAGAGAGAGAGAGAGAGTGGGACTTGTGGTGGATTGTGCTGCTAGAGAGGAGACCACGCTGAGGCCGCTTGCGGAGCTGGCTGGCCGCATCCCGAGCGGGGACCGCGCATTGTTTCACGAACGGTGGAACGCGCCCTTGGCTGCTCTGTAGGCCCAGCGTCATGGCCGTTTGCTTGGTGTTTCCTCACTGGGTTCCACATTTCGCGTGGCGCGCGGTTGGGTTGTGTCCGTGGCGCGCGGTTGGGTTGGGTTGTGTAGACAAAATATAGAATGTAGACTATTTTTATTTTACCAGGTAGAGTCCACTAAGCTCGATAGATCTTTTTCAGAAGCGACCTGGCCACAAACGGGAGCTCAACCAAGTGGCTTGTTGCGTGGAAATTTATAGCAGCCAAATACGTGGAGGGAAAAACCAGGGGACCCGGAGAAATATCCACACGATCACAGGGAGAACATGCAAACTGCAAATATACCACAGGTTTTAGGGTCGGAATCGAACCCACGACCTCCTGTATACCAGGCGAGGCAGCTGACACCTCGCCACCGTGTGCGTGGTTGGGATGGGTTGGTGCGTGGTTGGGATGGGTTGTGTGCGTGGTTGCGCCTGTGCCTCCGAGTGCTGCTTGTCAAGGAGGTGGTGTTGCTTGCTAGCAGCACTTGCCCCAACAGTCCGTTAAAAAGGCTGTTTGTGGGATCTTTGTCTATCTTTGGCGGCGGGGGAGGAGGGCGGAGTTGGCGGCACAATTCGTGCTTCATGGCAGCAGGATTGCTCTCGCATTGCTTCGGTGTTTTCTTGCCGCTTCTCGCTCCTGTGATACGCTAACGGTAATCCGCTGTTTGCCCAATGAACCTTTGAGACCTCTTAGGAGGGCGCAAGCTGTTTGCCCAGTTGCCGAGTGTGATTTTACACGCGGGAGGAGCTAAGAGTGCCCGGAGAAAGCCCACGCGCTTGCGAAGGGGAAACTCGTCAGATGAGCGGATTCGCACACACGCAGGTCGGAAACCTACCTTGTTGCCATTGGCCCCTCACAGGCAACCCGATTGCCTTGAGGGCTGTTTGCCTTTTGCCTGGCTCCATCTCCGCGTGACCCGCCAACCTCGCCTCGAGCGAACGCCATCT